TCAGCAGGCCTTCAGACGGGCAAGGGCGCCCGCGGGCAAAGTCGCGGGCTAGCGATGTCACATAACGTTAACACGGTTCTGTTGAAGCATCGCCCACTATCCTTCGAATTATTTTCACTTACATTCTTAATATCTATATATTTTTTTGCAGTTTTACATAAATGACAGATGCCTGTACTTATACACACCTGATATTTGTTAAATACTCAAACTGTGCATTTCTTATGATGATTAAATGTAGATAATACCGTTCTATCATGGGAATGTAATTTTGGTAGCGAATGTGTTAAAGCGGAATGGAAGGAAAGACGCTTGTTTTACATAATTCTTCCTTTTTAATGCGACAGTGGTGTAAGTGACAAAAGTTGATTCCTGGATAACGAGGGATGAAGTAAAAGTTCTGTAAAATTGAATAATATGAAAGAATGTTACATCCCTTTTATGCAAGCCACTGTATAGTTATACCTTAAGCTAATAGTGCCATTTTGCCGTGAAAATTAAGATACGTTTTATTCAATATTCTTCAGATCTACACCATTTTATACACCAAACTCCCAAATTCCTCCAAAAAGGATCTGTTTACTGAGATAGACGTTACGTTTTTACTGCTCTATTAATTACCAAACCATTAAAATAAAATGTATAAAATATGGTTCACATTGAAACAAATTTTAATTTCTGATAAATTTAAATCGAAAAATAATGTGCATGAAGCTTCGTGGATAGCGATAACACTAAGTTCCTATTCATCGCTCACTTCTTCGAAATCCAGAGGTCCAATGCTATCTATCTCACACCGAAGACTGACTTATACCATTCCTGCATACAGCGTCCACGCCATTCGAGTGGCTGGATCTTACTTATCTTACCATCCACCGAGAAACTAACGAAGACATACTTACACCACTTCTGCACAAAACAAAATGAAGATTAAACTTTCGACATGCGGTGTTAACTGAAAAAGGCAAAAAATTGACTTACACCACTTCTGCATCAAACAGCTCACATACATACTTACACGCACCGTTGCCCAAGAAAGCATGCCTTGTTGCCCGCCGACATGTTTACGCCCGGGGAAACCCGGTACGCTGCCCGTACGGGCAGCGACTGGCCACCGCTGCCATTCATCTGTGAAATCTTCCAACGATCAAATACTTGAAAAAAAATGAAGAAAAAATCAGCTCGACAAACTTCCCCCGTCGTTGATCCATTCATCCATAAGATCTTTCAATTACAGACACCAAAGAAAACTCCTGGGAATCTAACAACTCGAGGACATCCTAGTCGTAACTTCACAATGAACGAGGACGGTATGATCGAGGTGATCCCGTTGTCAGCGATTCCAGAACCGAGTAGAGATCCCACGGTGAGTCACTGGCAGATGTCTTGCGTGGCCTGTAGCCCACCTCCTGGTCAGGCTCCTCCGAGCAGGAAAGGATCAGGTCGAAGACGACGTAGACGGACGCCTAGGTACAATTCCGTGTCGAAGATCGATCGAGCAAGCCGCATCGTGTTCCCCGTGTTCTTCATGGCGATCAACGTGTTCTACTGGTTCGCCTATCTGTCCAGGAGCGAGCGTATCAATTACTACAACGTGAAATCGAACGGCACGTGAGACCGGTCGCTTGGTGTAACATTGACGGGGAAACATGTGTACAAACGTTCACCATGGGGAATGGAATCGTCGTGGAGACGTCCGTCGACCAATCTACGAGATACTACTTTAAGTGATCGCACACATAATAAGAGTTATTTGTCGTGAGACGAACGGGTCTCTCACGAGAGCGATGGAACTTTTGGAGGAGCGTTTCGAACAAACGTAGGCCACCGTCCATAAGTTTAATCGCACTAAATGAGCAAATGGGGGATCTGTATGCGTGTATGTATGCGTGTGTGTTGTAGTTATTGTCGAGCCTTTGATTGCTTGGATTTAGACGAAGGAAGGTTTTTGACTGATTGAGGTGAGAAAAGAAAATTGAGCCAATTCCTTCAATTATCGCCCAATATCGTTAGAATTGCTTCTTCTCGTTTCGTTGTTTCTGCTTTATCGTTAATTCCACGCCACGTCTCTTTTGAAGTAATTCGTCGCTCTCGTTGTTCCTATTTTTTTAATTTTTTATAATGATATAATTATTGTTTGTAATGATACATTTTATTGGTAATTTTTATTGTTTCTTTCATGTATGCGTTATTAAATTATTGCAGTTCTTACCCAAACCTTTCTATGATGTGCTTCTTTTATAATGAAATCGTTAGTACAAGCTCGCATAGCTAATTGCTTCTTTTCTTGAAAATAAAAGCAAGACGTATGTTATAAAAATTTATTAGGAAAATTAAATCACTGTTTGTACGTACCTACGTGTTTCCCTTCTTCATTCTTTGAACGACAATGTTCGGATAATTAAAACTGTTCTGATAATCAAAATTTTGTTGTATTATAAACATACATTTATATTTTCAAATATTGTAACCTATTCTTGGATGTACGATTATTCACACACTATAATTTTACGAAATAGTCAGTATTATTGTTTTAGCGTTGATTATAGCAATACTGCACTTTAGTCATTAATAAAATTTTATTTGTCATTAAATTTTTTACTTAAGCTAGATTATATATGGACATTTTATTTTCTTGAAATAAGCTTTGAAAACAGGGGGTAGCATAATAGCGGGCATAACTTTAGTGGTAGATCCAGTACACATAAATAATAAAGAAAGTTTATATAAACGTTTGTCCAATCTGACCTTGTTTCGAAGTTACAGTTGTTTTTATCTTCCAGTAATTCTTTTGACAAACTGAACTCTTCATTGAACTGTTTATAAGCAACGCTTGATATCTCATGTACGACCTTGCTAACTATTATGAACAGGTTAGAAGGTCAACGATACGGCTAGGTGACCATTTCGAGCAATTTCTGTGACGACAAATAAACAACTAATATACCACGAAACCGACTAACTCGGAAACAAGGTCAAATAGGACAAATGTTTATACGAACTTTTATTATTTATGCGTGTTGAATGCACCACTGAAGTTATGCCCGTATATTGTGATACACTCTGTATATAATTCTACAAATATCCAACTAATTTTTGCGAAGCAGCTATGTTGATACGAGAATCATAAAGTAACTTTGCTTGCATTTTTTTCAATTTTCCATAAGATTCTGATTAACACGTGAAACATTCGAGTAGAATGCCTCTTTATTCTCGTTAACGATAATTATTTTACCGCTTCGTTTTATTCTAACTTTTAAATTATTTACAACTGTCGTGAGTGCGATTAAATTTATGAACAATAGTATATAAGTAGACATACGATACTGGACAAAGGTATGAAACCAAATTTTAATAGGATTGTGTGAAACATTGTTGTATAAATGGTAAATGAAGTTGAACTATAGTTTTGTGACATGTATTGCAAGAAAGTAAAGGCTGTTAGATCAGTTACAATTTAAAAATATATTTTGAATAGACTCTGCTGTGATAATAAAACCTAACCTTAATATAAAATTCTTTTCTATTATCGATTTATAATAAAATTATTTATTTTTAATAATTGTTACTTCAGTTTATCAACTGACAAATATTTATTATTTCCAACAGAATTATGAGAAATTATATACAATCTTCTGAGCATTAAATTGTTACATATAAAAAAATTCTACTTTATTTGCGGTGGTGAATCGTTCTTAGTACTGATGAATAGACTGGGAAACATCAATCTATTGCTGAATACTGCAGGAATTATTTCAGCCGCTTTAGGAACAAGCAATTGAGCCAACAAATGGATAATTAAGGACACGTTGGTGATTATACAGCCACAACAGAACGAGAGATAGTCGGTGTAGCACTAAATTACACTAATCACTACCAGTGAGGATAACGACTGATTATTACAGATTCGACCTTCGTCTAACAGTCATGAATGGTAACTACAGATCAAGGTGGTGATTTCATACTTTCGTCCGTTAGAGTATCCTTAGAAATCAAGTTGTCCTTCTCTCGGAAACACAGTGTTCATGTTAGTCAACTATTTTTTGAGAAGTAAAACAGCTTTAATACCTTTCTCGAATTTGAACATCAGAACTTAATTGTTTGTTGTTTTAAATGACTAAAAATGAAAAAGGGAGAACAAGAGAAAAAGTTTTGAATGGTCGATAGCAAATAAATTTTTGCGATGTCTTGGACATTCGATCTGCTTTCAAAGGATTAACCCCCATCATCCGTGCGTTTTGAAAGAAAAAAAAATATGTTAAATATAAAGGATACAATAACGTTTTACGACAAATGTGTGGAAAATTATTTTTCATTCCTGTCGAGTGTAAATTATGTTACTTGTAAAGAAAAAAAGTGAGTCAGTTCGGTTAAATTAAAAGAAAGTCGTCGGTAAAACGTACGAAATAAGTTTTAACCACTAGAAGAACGCTTAGCGAGTGAAACGATAGAAAAATTTAATGGTAACTGCGTATTAGGTGCGACAATAAAAATCCATTTCAAAACCAGCTCCGTTGTTATTTATTGTAACATATACACGACATATGTATATAAAATATAAAAGTAATACAATAAAGTGAAAATATTTAATGTTTTTCAATATACAGAGTGTCTTAAGGTATACGGATACGTTTTATAAATATAAAATGCAAATACAATAAAATTCTTCTTTATTATTTGCACAAACTGCGCATACGAAAATAAACAGAACAATTTTTGATTATATTTTTAATTTTCAAAATCGTATAGTCCTCATTTTGTTGAAGAAACGACAAAGAAAAGTCCCGTCGCGTTTCCTATCTTTTCTGACATATTTCATGCAACGCTTATCTCAAGACATCTGGTATATTAAATGTTTGCGATAACCTCCATCACGAGAATAAGTGCTAGTAATAAAGTAAATGTATAAAAATTACTGGATTGTTTTTGTTTAAGTAGAATTCATTGTATAACAAATTATTTTTCATTAAAATAATTTGAATTTCTTATTACATCACACGTACACGTGCTGAAATTAAAAAGTTTCGTTGCTTTCAATTCTTCTTACAAGCAAGTATATATTTTTTAAATACTTCGTTTATAGTTAAATCACATATATATAAATTCGTAGATTTAAATCATTATTTATATAAATCCATTTTTTTAATCGTGAATCAAATATGAAAAAAATACCGTATAATACATTAAACCATACAAATTTTCCAAGCATAATACATTAAATAAAATATTATTCAATTAGTTAAAAAGATAACAAAATTTCGCTCGTAATTTTGCAATTTCAAAACCTGTGGATTATAATAGTACTTCTAATCTAAAACTGAAAATGAGTCATTCTATGCCCTATTGCATCGGCGAAATATTTTTAACACTATCTTAAAATATATTTAATAAATTACATTTGCAACATGTCCTACATTCTACATTTGTCTAATTTTAAAATTTGATGAAAGACACTCTTCTGCAACTTGCCACAGTGAAAACAGTTCTCAGTAAAACAGAAGAATGAAAGTCTAAATTGCAAATATCCATACTGCAGAAATACTCACCCCTTCCGATTTCCATTTCCATTATTGCAAGCGGTGAAATATATCGCTGTAATATATCTCAATCTCAAAATATCTCGATGACATATTTTCTTTCATTCTATTCGAGCAAGTATGTACATTTTATCACTATCGCATACATTCGTTCTATATGGCGAATGATGCATCACCAGAATGCTGATGTACATATGTATATACAACACATTCAATGTTTCCGTTCAATGAAATTCCGTACGCCTTTCCCTCTAACGCGCAACAAGTGCCCTATTTGTCTTCGTATTTATAATCAATCTGTCGCAAAGCTTCCCCGGCACGTTCAGACAACACTCTAATTCTCACCAACACCATGCTACTTCACCATAAACCTCCATATTTATTACAGAACCGACACTAAGTTGTTTGTACTGTAATACCTGTGCAAGATTGTAATTCTGTACGAATATGATTCGTACATATTCAAAATATTCTATCGCGTTTCTAATAAATGAACGTTTATTTTGGAATGGGTTAGGGTTTTAAATATACATATATCATGCTACATTATTACTTTCTATTTTAAAAATTCCACTGAAAACATATTGACATATTACTTTTAGTATGACACATTCATAAATAAGATAAAAACGAATTTGCAGTACGTTGAAACAGAAATTAAGCGCTTGAAATATTGTACATTGATACTTGTGAGTTTAATGCATCATCAAAGCAATAAAACGAAGAAACTTTACCGAGACTTTGTCTTATTCTAAATGATCAAAACCTTAAGAAATGCTCTGTTTAAAATTTAAAGAATGTATAACATTATATACTTTTGACGTTTATTAGTATTACTACATACATACATCGATGAGTAACTATATAAACTACAATTTTATTTCTAGATTAAACATAGAGGTACACATTGTAATTTGCGTAATTATCTTCACTGCATGCACCAGGCATGCAGCACTCAAAACGTTACAAAAATATTTAAGCGTACAATTACATACAAAATGATAAATCTGTCGCTGACTACAGACTTCCATATAGTATCATTCTTTGGCAAATCTTCAGTTTCTATTAGGAATATTTATAAAAATAGAAAGCACTAACAATAAAAAAACCCAAAAAATAAAATGGAAGAATCTTTTACATATTTGTACTGTCATCTTATTTTTAAAAGAAAAAACTGGTCACATGTTACATATTCTATACATTCGTAACACCAATTTAACTAACATTGAACGTGTTTTTATATGCAATACTGTGACACTGTATATTCGTATATGTAAATTTCTATACGAAATTGAACAATTTTCATGTAAAAAGTTATTTGATTAGTGAAAAGAAAATAAAGAAATTTGTAAAACTTACTATCATTATTAAATTTTTGTATTATATGTTATAGCAAATAGATAATTATATTAATAGCACAACTAATTAGTGGATAAATAAATGTAAATATAAACGAAACATTTGTAAGTGTCACATTTTTTTGCAATGTATAGGATTAATCCAAACATTACTGAATTGTGCTAAAGTTATTGGATTTTTTAATGAAATTATCAAGATGATGTGATCATTTTTATTACATCACCTAACTCATTTGCATAATAATCTGGAACTATCAAATTTTTGGAATTTGCGTTGGACGCGTTCATTACATCTATATCATTTTGCGTTGTAATACCCGTTAATACGAGAAGAGTTTTAAATCCACAACGTTTTCCAAGAAGAATATCAGTACTGCAACTAAAACGAAATAGTTGTTTTAGAAGTGTTGTAAGTCAATATTTTGTATTATCATGATCATTATTATGTTGTACTTACTTGTCACCAATCATGAGTGTTCTTTGAGGATTTAAACCATATTTTTTTATAACATATTCACTCACAAAAGATTCTGGTTTTCCTAGCATCACTGCTGACCTATTGGATGCTGCTTCTATAGTCTTTATGAAGCAACCAGTTCCTGTATGGTAAAATATGAATGTTATATTATGACAAATTTCATAAAAATTTAGATTTAGACTAGTAAATGAATTACAACAAGCATTTTTGTAACCTGGAAATTTGTTATCATTTGGTGAAGGTCTCTCTGTATCACAATTCGTCCCTATAAAATGAACACTTGGATCTCGTAAATAAGTGGCAGCTTTTACAAGCTTAGGTAAACTAAAATGTTTATCAAAACCCACAACAACTGCTCCAACTTCTGGATCTGGTTTAAAATCTTTTACCATTTCTACTTCATCACCTTCCATCAGATCCAGCTACAATGACAAAATATAAATGTTATACTGCTAATTTATATTTAAATTTAATATTTAACTGCACAATTTTTGTATAAAAAGCTCACCCCAACACCACAATGTTTGATACCTTCAGCTTCAAGTTCCTTACTAATGCCATCATTACCAACTATATATGCCTTTTTATCAAATTTTTTTTCTTTAAGATATACAGCAGCCAAAAATGAGGTGCATACTATTTCATCCTGAAAAGAAACAAAGAAATATTTGATATGATAAATTTCTTTTCTAAATTAGAATATTAAAACAAAAAAATTTACTTACAACTGTTGCATCATATTTGAAATCCTTACATTTTTCTACAAATTCAGATCTTGTTTTAGTATTATTATTTGTTATGTAAAAGAATCTTTTGCCCAATTCTTTGAATTTATTTACCGTTTCAGGTGAATTCTTTATTACTTCTGTTTCCTTCCATAGTACACCTAAGGTTTACTGAGATTAAAACACCATTTGTGACATTGCACCTTGAAGTATTTATTTATAATTACTTGTTTGATTATTAAATACTTCAATACTAACTGTACAGTATAAAAATAAATGAAAGTATATACTTTTATTTCAAAAATCTGATAAAAAAATTATTTTACACTAAATAAGTAATAACTCACCATCACAGTCTGATAAAACTACATCAATAGAGTCTATAAAATTTTTAAACTCTGTTTTGGACAATGACAATATATGCTTTGTTGTCATTTTGAGACAACCTACAAGCACAACTTTTCAAATTGAAATGAAGCTAACTTCTACCATGCACAGAGTATACTCTTCATCAATTAACCGTTGTAACAACTGAAAAGAGAATCTAAAACAGAATGTACCTCTAGCTGACAGCCACGCATTTGCAACGTGACCTTGCGTGCTTGTTACGTAATATAGGGATATAAATTGTTCCTATTTCATTCACAACTGCCACTAGATTTAATTTATGACAATTACACTATATCCGTACCGATATGAACTAAATGATATTATTCATGCATATTATTATTTGTGCTATTCATTATATTTAATTTTAATTAGTAAATATTTTTAAAATATTTTCCATGAAAAACAACGTACAACGTATAACGTATGACACGTTATTTATTTTAATAAAATTAACTATTTGAAAAATTAATTATATAACAAAACTTGATTTTAATGAAAACTTTCGTATAATTATAAAAAATTTTGTAACGAGAAAAGGGTTAGACTTTTAAGTTTATACATTCAAAAAAGCTAGTATGTGTAGTCTCGATATAAATAAATACGTTATAAATGATAAATATTTTTGTTAATGGAATTACCAATTGAAATATTAATTGAATATATATTTTCAATAAATACAACAATAACTATTTCAAATAATATTTTAATCACACTATAAAATTAGTGTGTGTTTTCATAGAAAACGTCATTATATTTTATGTTTAATTCACTGTACAATTACTTTAAAATTTTTCTAAATAAGATAAAAGATCACCAAGTGATTCAATATAGTAATTAGGAATATATTCCTTCTCTTGTGCAGATCCCGATTGTTTCCACCTATTGACATCTTCTAAAGTAGTAATTCCTGTTAAAACTAGTAATGTCTTAAAGCCACATCTAGTTCCTAAGAGTATATCTGTATTATGTCGATCTCCAATCATTAATGTGCGTTCAGGGTTCACTTGAAATCTTTTCATCAATACATCTGCTATGTAACGTTCAGGTTTTCCCATCACTACAGCTTTTCTTTCTGCGCAACTTTCTATACATCGCACCAAACTTCCAGTACCTGTTTAAAAACGCGAGGTATAACAACATTGTTATCAACAGGAAATCTTTCATCTGTATTTGTAGCAATGAAATGTACATTGGAATCATTTAAATATGAGGCTGCTTTTACCATCTTGGGATAACTAAAATGTTCATCAAAACCAACTATAACTGCACCTACATCAGGATCCTTATCAAATTTATTATATGGAACATTCTTTTTAATAGCATCTGGTCCTACACCAATGTGTGAAATTCCAACTTCTTGTAACTCTTTTGCTATTGCTATAATATATATTATTATATTCAATATGGTTTAATATTACAGTATAAAGAAATATAAATTCTTAAATCTTGCCTTCAGATCCTACAACATAAACTTTCTTGTTGAAACCTAGATCTTGTAAATAACAAGCAGCTAAATTTGCAGTGCACAAAATGTTTTCCTTAGTTGCTTTAAAATTTAAAACTTGGCATTTCATTACAAACTCTTCCCTAGTCTTTGTACTATTGTTTGTTACATAAAAAACTCTTTTACCAAGGCAATTAAAAGTATCTATAACTTTTGCAGCATTTGGTAAAGGATTCATGTTCATCCAAAGTACACCTAAAACATAAAATTGACATTGTTATATATTTTCATTATTTAAAAACAATGCTGTTATGAAATAATACTTACCATCACAATCAGTAAGTACAGTATCAAAAGAATTTAAAAATTCTTTAACATCTTCATCACTGAGTGTCTTAAAATCTATTGCAGCCATGCTGTAA